TGTGGAGCAATTTGTTAACTCTCAGCAGAAACTCCCATACATCTCTTAATTTAAAGGCCCCGTGTCACTCTTATAGTGGCCTTATAGCAGGACTTCTTAGAGTCCTATCTAACCTATACCTTTGTCCATGATACAGAAGTCAATTGGTCTTTAGAACGCTGTGATACATTGAAATTAAGAAAACCGAAGCGGGCTGATTTTCACTCCTGTCTGCAAGGCATCTGATATTCTAATAATGAAGACTTGTGCAGCAGCTGTTTCTCGCTTGCCATCAGCTCATGCATAGTCCTACGTGTTCAAAGAGGCTTGTTGGGAACCTTAGTAATGGCAGTTTCATTGATGTGGAAAAGCAGATGCCATTGAAAAGTGATCCAAGAAGGAGACTGCAGAAGGATAGTGCAGCTGAGATAGAAAGCTCACTCAAGGAACCTGGGTAGAGATTCAAGATGGTTTTCCTATGCAGAGAGAGAAGCAGGAGCTGGGAGGGGCTGGAAGAAGGGAACGTGCAGGCCCGCCCTCCTCACCTTTTTTATTACCAGAGGATGGGGCTCTTCATTTTCTTTTAGCAGACCAGGTCTCTGATCTTTTAGTTCAATCCAGCGACTTCAGCCTAGACAACAGTTCATCTAACACCCACAGTAGTGTGCCAGCTCAGAGGTGGGGCCTGGCAGAACTAACACAAATGCCAATTTTCAAACCATCCAGGCAGTTTAAGGATGGTGATTTGTATGTTACAGAGTCAGCGCCTAAATGAATTTAGTTAGAATCAGGAGAGGAAAAATGTTATTTAGCTTACACTTTGTGCATTATAGTGAGTTCAATTCAATAAGCACCAAGCGCCTACAACGTACCATACATTATGTTAGAAAGGGAAGGGAACTAGCATTTTTAAGTGCTTAATATATACTCTGAAGGAGTGACCATGTCTTATTTATCACTGTGTCACATACCACAGTGCCTGGCATATATGGGATTCCAAAAAATCTCATATAAATCAATGAAAGTCAGACACATCCCTGAGTACTTTGTACATTACATCATTAAATTCTCAACACAAGTCTCTAAGGTGGTATCATCTCCATTCCACACATAAGCAAACTGAGTTCTAGAGAGATAAATTGTCCAAAATCACACAGCCAATGTTTCATTACCTACTGCGTTGTAACAGACCACCCAAAACTTAGTTGCTTAAGCCATTTATTTGCCCATGACTCTGCAATCTGGGACCAGCTCAACTGGGAAATTCGTTTGTTGGTCTTGCTTGGGGTCTCTTATGCAGATGCAGCCATCTGGAGGCTTGACTGGGGCTAGAATATCCAAGATGGTTTTACTCCCTTGTCCAGTGCCTCAGCTGGGATGGCTGGAACACGGAGGGGCTGGCTGGACATACGTCCTTCTCACAGGATATCCTGGCTGCCTCCCATCTGCCAGGGCCTCTTTCTGCACGATCTCTCTCTCCAGTGGGGTAAATGGACTTCCTCACAGCACAATAACTAGCTTCCAGGAGGACAAGCCTCAATATGCCAGCCCTTATCAAGCCTCTGTATCATGCCTGCCAAGTTCCTATTGATCAAAGCAAGTCACACGGCCAACTCCAGAGTCAAAGGGGGAGGGACTTACATAAGATTGTTCACACTGGAGGTGTGGTTCATTGGGGGACCATCCACGTAACACTCTGCCACAGCTAGGAAGTGGCAGAGCTAAGAATCAAACCCAGATCTGCCAAATTCCCAGGCCCAAACTATTTCAGTAAGTTTTACGATGAAGGAATAAATAGTATTGCTATTGCCTACAGGGATATTCCCCACCCTTGAATTCCTTTAATATATCTGAGAAGTATAGAGGAAATGGCATTGAGCTGAACACTGGAGGATGTGTAGTATTTCAACAGGCAGACAAGGGGAAGAAGTGGAGAGCGGATACTTCAGGTAGAGGGAATGGGATAAGCAAAGGTGGGGGGGAGTGGGAAACGTCAGGCAAGTCAGTGGTCCAGTGTAGAGGGGGGAGGACCGGGAGATAAGGCTGTTACCAGGGGTAGGGGCTGAGCACTGGGAACCACATATGTGAAGCTGTTTGATCTTACTCGGAAAGCAAGGGCAAGCCACAGGGGGTTCCCAGGAAAAGACTAGAGGGAGAGACTATGTGAGAATAAGGATGGCCAAAACGAGGGCAGTTACTAAGAAAATGCAATTCCTGAACATCCCTCTAAGTCCAACCAAAGCTTTCCTGGATACTACGGCCTACAGGGTTCTTCCCTGTCTGCAAGGGCAAGCCACAGGGGGTTCCCAGGAAAAGACTAGAGGGAGAGACTATGTGAGAATAAAGATGGCCAAAACGAGGGCAGTTACTAAGAAAATGCAATTCCTGAACATCCCTCTAAGTCCAACCAAAGCTTTCCTGGATACTACAGCCTACAGGGATCTTCCCTGTCCGGTTCTTCCCTGTCTCCGAATTCCTTCAATGGGTACAGTGATCTCTCAATCTAGCTCACAATCATGTATCACTTTATCTTTTACTCCAGTTATTTTAAGCATCAGGGGGTTTTGTCTCTAACCAAAGTATAAGCTCCCAGAGAGCTGTACAAACCAATGTCCTGGCTGCCTGATATTCTGGGAAGATCATTACACTGGGGGCAAGAGTCCAAATTTCTAGTCTTAGCTTGTGCACTAAGTAGCTGTGAGACAAGGGCTTGGTGTCTTTGTAAAATGAGGAAGTTAGACTAGGTAGCTTTCAAGGATTCCTCCAGCAGGAGACAGAGAATGGAATCAGAGTTAAGCATTCACTCATCCTACAAGTAGTTCCTGAGTGTCCACTACATACCACACACTGCTGGGTCCTAGGGACACAGACCTGGTTTGATTTTTTTCTTCTGTCACTGTGTCCCTTGGGAAAGTCATTTGAATTTCATTGGGCCACAGGTTCTTTATTAGTAAGACGGGAATCATAATTTTTACCTTGCCAGTGCTTCTAAGGATTAAGCGAGATAACATAAAGCGCACATGAGAGGGGCTCAATAAACGACCCCAGCCCCCCAGCTTTGATGTATAGACCATGACTGACGGGGAAAAGAAATCATGGAGCGTCCTCTAAATCAACGGCCTCAACAAGACGTGGTTTTGAACCGTGACAGCACCTGCACACGCCGCGTGGCGTGGTCAGACGGCTGTCCCAGCCCTGACCACGGTGCCGTCCAGGCTCTGTCCAGTGCTGGCGGGTGCTTAGGATCTGGAAGTGAGAAGAGGCTTTTGCCTTTGTTTCAACTGCTCGTGCTAAAGGCCAAGGGAAGTGCCAGGTCCGGGCTGGGCACAGGGACTCGGAAGGTGGTAAGAAATGGCCCCGGCTCTCAACGGCAGTCACAAGCTGCCCAGGGAGGCGGTGCCACGCGAACACCGAAGGACGGTTAGTCCGGAGCGAAGCGGGCCGGGCTTCGGTGTGAGTGTGAGGGTCAGCAAGGGGCCGGCCAGGTGGGGACGGGCGCCCCGGCCGAGGAACTTAGGTCGAAATCGGAGTGCAACGTGGAAGCAGCGGGAGCCAGCTGGCCGAAGCCCCAGGGTGGGCTGAGGCCAAGCTAGAGCGAACGCCAAGACGTTCATCCCGTGGTCACAAGGGGGCCGCGACGGCCGGAAGGTGGAGCTGGGCGCTATTACGCATGTGTCCAAAAAGGCAATGGCGGCCCGGCCCTCAGGGAGCCAGAAGGCTCCAGGGCCGTGAAGGGTCGCCGTACTACAAACCCGCCCAGAGCACGCTTGCGTCTAACTGCTGCCTCCCCACCACTTCCTCGAGGTCCCCCACGCCTCTCCCCCTCCGAAGCTGCCTCTCCGCGTACCCAGGGCCCAGGGCCCCGGCGGCGGCGCGCATGCGCGACTCTATGGCGCAGGCGCACCGCGTTGCCGCAGCGCGGAGCAGAGGAGAGGGGCTGGAGGGGGGAGGTGCGTGTCCCTGGTCCCTACCAGGTGCCCGTAGACGTCGGCAGGCTGGAGGTAGAAGGTGGAGTTGAGCAGCTCCTCCAGCCTGCGCGGAACGTCGTTCTCCCGGTAGTACTCCATCGCCTGCTGCTTCAGCTTCTGCAGCTCCCTAGTGGTCCCACAGCTGCGGCCGCCGCCTTCTTCCCCCATGGTAGGAGATTTAAGGCTACAGCGGGGTATAGCCTGGGGGCCTGCGAGCGTCCTCCCCGTCGCTAGGCAACGCAACGAGATCCCGACCCCAGGTCTCGCGATGCTTCCAGCTCTAGGCGCTTCCTGCGCCAGGAGCTGCGAATGGCTCCCGCGTCCACTTCCCTCTCTTCCTCAGAGGGATCGGGCCCGGGCGTGGGCTCCTCGACTCCCAACACTGTCACTCTCCCAGCTCTGTTTGTCACCACTTTCCTCCGACGATTTTCCAGATGGAGGAATATTTAACGACCTCATGAAGCGCGTTTTGCGGAAGGGTGGGAGCTTTAGCTCCGAATTCCGGCTGGGGACACTCGCCTTGGGTGGCGCGCCGGGTCCCCCGGGGCCCTGAGACTCGGGCCTTGAGGCCTTCCTCTCCCTCCCCCACGTTCTTCGCGGTTGGGAGCCGCTTCGGGTTGCACAGGCCCACTGTTGGGTGAGGGATGTATTAACTCAGCGTGTCCTTACTGAGCTGCGGAAGGCCTAGGAACCCATTCATTCAGTCAACATTAACCACCTGTTCTGAGCCGGGCAGCGTGGTGGCTGGGCCTACTGTGTCCCGGAGAGAACGGCTAGGAGCCCTCCCCGGGATATAAGGGGGGTGGAATCAATGGAAGGGAAACCCCGTGTGGGCCCCCAAACTTAGAGTGACCCTTAAGGATGGTTATGGCTTGGACAGACCTAGGAGTGGGGAGATGATGCAGGCAGGACATAGGGAGGTGAAGTGGGATTGGAGGAATGTCCTTAGGTCACGTTCCCTCTCCAAAGCTGCGTGCGTTCTCCCTTTTAAATCCCAACTGCCTGGCTGGCTTCATTACACCTGCCAGTGGTGTCATGTAATTAGAGAACTTCTTCACGTGTTCCCTCTCATCTAGATAGTTCTGTTGCTGCAGGAATGGGCTGAGATGGTCAAGGTATCCTCGTTCTATTCTTACCTGTTTATATTCCTGGTGTAAGCAGATCACTTAAAAGATCTATGCTGCACTTTGCTCTTCTGGAAAACAATCTTACCTACTCTACCTGCTTTACAAGTCACTTAGGATAATTGAGAAAGAGAATGAGAAAGCACTTGAAACAAAGTTATTTTCAATAGATGCACATATAGATGTATAAAAATATGTGATTCTATAAGTACTGTTACACAAACCAAGATATGCATCTCCCTGTGAACTCCCTTAGTGTTTTCTCTGAATCTCACTTTCTGGAGTGTGATAGATCATCACGGATCTGCCTTCACCTCCTTGCTAGATGGAAAGCCCTTAATGGTAGGAGCTGAGTCTGAGTGATCTTGACATCCACCCAGAGCCTGGGGCTCTGCTGGGGAAGAGCATGTGCTCTGCTGAATAGGTGTTGAGTGCACCTACATGTGAAATAATCTGATACTATTGCTGTTGTTTCCTTTCCCCCTTTGTGCCTTTCCTCATATCCCCCAAGATGAAAGGCACCGCTTCTCTTAAATGCCCATCCTAGAATGCATGGGTTGGGTCCCACATCTTCAGAGAAGCCATGCTCCCCACTCCAGCCCTCACTCCAGCCAGCCCTTCCTTTCTTCTGAACTCCTTCCCCATTTAAGGACTGGACCACAAAGTATAGCCCTCAGGGATGTCTTGACTCATTTGACATTTTGGTGAAAGATCAGAAATATCCTGGGCTGGGACAACCATGTCTTAGAGTCTCCCCTCTATAACTCATTGGCTTCTAAGTTCCATGAGGACAGGAACTTAGTCTGTCTTGTTCACCACTGCGTCTGCAGCATCAGCGCCTTACCTGACAGAATAGATGCCCAGTGAATATTTTTTGAGTAAGTGGGTTTTACACATAATGAATGGTTAATAAATACTTAACTCACAATCAAACGTTTTGGAGTTGGGTGAATAATGACTACACCAGCCTGGCTGAAACAAAGGGTTTATTTTAAGGAATAATGAGAAATAAGGATAGGTAATCTGAGGTGAGGGTGTGAAGGGACTGGAGTCCCATTCTGTAAGAGTGGGAAGCAACCACACTTTACCGAATATAGTGTGGACAAGGTAGAAGTGTTCTAGGAAGTTAGTTGGCAGCAGTGGGTAGGATTGATGGGTGTGTGATTATACAGAAAGCAGGAGACCCAGGTAGAAAATAATACGGGTACAGTAATTACTAAACAATAATGGTAGCAATGGGGAGAGATGGATGAAAAAGAATAGGAAGGAAGGATGGAAAAGGCTTTGAGTGATTGGATGTGGGGTTAGGGAACTTGTAGAATTCCATTCCAGTTGAGAGAAATGGGGTCAATGAGTTGTCTGGTGTGGATGAGGGAACGTGCTGCATTGGGTTTTGGATATGCAGAACTCGAGGAGCACGGGTATTGCAGAGAAAAGGGAGAACTGAAATACGGATGGAAGACTTCCACAGAGAGCTGAAAGTTGAAGAACAGACAGATCCTCTGAAGGGAAAGGGGGACAATCCTCTTGATGTAAGGATCTAAATATTGGGGAAGGAATAGATTTAGGACATAGAAGGAGGACAAGAGGTATAACAGGACACAACAAAAAAGGCTTAGAGAAGAAGGACAAAATGCAAATCACAAAGTCTAGGGTAGAGACTTGGCATCATGTGTGTGTGTGTGTGTGTGTGTGTGTGTGTGTGTGTGTGTGTGTACGTATGCGTGGTGTAGAATAAAGTCTGCAAGGATGTACCTGCGCATGTTAATCATGTTGTCCTTGGGTGATGGGACCACAGGGAACATTTATTTTCTTCTTTTTATATATTGGCAGTGTCTGATTTTCCTAAAATGATTGGCTTACTTATATAACTGAAAAATTACATTAAAAGTATTTGAGGGAAGGATGTGAAGCCAAACGTTGAAGGAGGGTTGAAGACTGAAAAGAGATTATTAGGAACTCAGTTGTTCCCTTATAGACCCATTCCATCTTCTCACATAAAAACAAAAGAATGTGAAGGCAATAAACAAATAACCACCATCCTGGTCTACTTCTGTCATTTACTCAATCAACAAATATTTACTGAATGCCTGCCGTGTGGCAGGTGCTGTTCTAGGCACTGGGGAAAGAATAGTGAATAAAATAGATAACATGCTTTCTCTTTATGGCACTTAAGTCCTAATTGCGCTCTAGTAGCACTTACATCTGAGCGAGTCATTGGGACAATAAACTGAAATAATAGATGTGAAGGCATTTTGAGAAGTTGGTATGCTAGGGGTTTATTAACAGCCTGTTAGTGTCAGATCCAGAATAAATAAAATGATTATTCTTGAATATTCCAATTTTCTTATTTTCCATAGATATTAGGAGTACTGGGGTTTTAGCTGTAAAATACACTCATGAATATGCAGATTTTACATGTACTTCTCACATTCCTTCTTTTAGCACCTTGATGACTGTATTTCCATTTCATATTGAGATCGAATGTCCAAGGGCACTTCCAGAGCATCAGAATTTGAAAAGGGTTGAGCGTGGTGCTAATCCTAAAGCTACCAATCTGGGGAGTTGAGGATGAGAGGGAAGAAAAGGGAGAGGAGAAGCTCAGGAACTTAAGAAAGTTCCTGGAACATATCCATGTAGAGAGGGTCAGACTGTGCTCTCCTCCTTTAGAAGGAGGAAATGGTGTTAGAGAGGATACCATCGTGACTGCAATCAGGACTCAATGCCTGCATTGCAAGGCATGCGTGGTGGTGTGAGACAAGAACTATTTGTCTGGGAATGAGAAAACCTAGATTAGAATCCCAGTTGTCCCTAAGATCTTGACCTTATCAGTGCAAAGAAAAGTTTGGACTGGATAAGGGTTTCCTAACCTTTTTGAGTATGAAGACTTCTTTTTTTTTTTTTTTTTTTTGTCTTTTTCCGTGTCCGGCAACGGATCGCAACCCTCAGTGTCGCCCCCGTACCGGACCGGGACTGGCAACCCTCGGTGTTGCTCCCGCGCCTCGCTCAGCCAGTGAGCGGGAACCGGCCTGCATGTGGGATCCGAACCCTCGGCGAGCGCCACCGCGCTTCCCAAGCGGCGCACTGTAGCAGTGCGCCACCAGGCCGGCCCATGAAGACTTCTTTTTAACAACAGAACAAATTGAGCATGCCCTTTCCCCCGTGTAATAGTAGTTATATATAGTGACTATACATTCAGTAGTACATTTAGAGGCATTTGTATTTTATTCATGGAAATTCTGTACACATGAAGAATACATTTATGGGCAAGCCATTATTCAGAGTGTTTGATGTATGTTTGGAATTGGGGGCACCTTGTGCGGAGTCCACTGGCTTCCTGGTGACGTTAGTGTCTCTCCATCTTAGGTCTCTCCTACTGTGTAGCTCTGAATCAAGATAAAATATCAGGACACATTCGTTTATTCCAACCCGTTAAATGAAAACCCTTCATAGAGGAAATTAAATCCTTCAGTCTGCATTTTAAAAAGAATTTTTAAGCTATGTTGGACATTTCCTAAATGAATGAGGGTAAAGAACAAATGTATTTGTTCATTTTTTCCTTAATCCTGTCCAACACCTTTATTTGAATTGGAACTTGTTTGCCATGACTTTGATGTTCAGAAGTGATTATTTAGATGTTATTTTGGGGTCGCTATCAAGTGCTTGTTGATTCTTCTTTACTGCATTTGACAGCCCTGCTGAATATCATTTTTCATAGAGAACTAATGAACATGATTGCAGGTGCTTTGATCATGGAATCATAGAAACTGGAGACAGAAT